TCATCCAAAGGAAAAGGTATTTGTACATCTTAACCTAGTAAATAACTGCACAGATATTCAGTCGTTCACTGTTCGGAATATTGGTGAACAGTGAACGGCAAACGCCGACTGCGAGCCTCATTCGAATTGCGATAACTAGGATGGGAATACTCTTCACAAGCGCCTTATTTGTCTGTGTCTGGCCTTGCGTAATAGGATTTCATTTAATTTATATGGAACTAATTACTAGAGACAAGAAGAGATCCTGATATTTTGAAGTTCAACAATTTCTGACCTATAAGTGACGAGAATATAAATTGATGATTTACAGTGGGTACACAGCCAAAGCCGTCATCCCCTAATTTTTGTGTCCATTGTTCACGTGATTTGTAAGTTTGCAGCACCCGACGGCGGAGTTTTGTAGTAGTCACCTTCATTGGGGTTGTACTAACCTCACAGGTAGACGCGTAGACTTACCACGTAGAGAGAGCGAATCAAACATACACGCAAAATAGAAAGCTATGGAAAACAAAAAGCAGCTACAGTTTCGTTTATTTTTAAGGGTACANGTCTGCCTAGCCACACTTTCGGCATCTAACATGACGTGGTTAGGTAGTAATTTGCCTGGTTTAAGATCCCAAAGACCATAAGACATGCAAACGTTCAACACAGGGTTATAAATGCTGAGCTGCACTGTGCGCAGAAGAGAGGAACTTAGTTCAGGGATCATGAGCGCGTGAACGAGAAGCCGATGTCTTTGAAGCTGATGCGGTCAACCTGATGATCTTTTGGAGTTGACCAGAAAAAATGCACGATGGAGAGACAGAAAGAGCAACGGCTGAGATGATGAACCGTGCCGGTTCGTGTGAAAGGTGCAGCACATTTCTACAGAGTCAGATTGGACAAAATGTCGCAAAGACGGTAGAAAATTTCCTTACTGTGGTTCATTAAGTTCTCATTTGCAACGACAAATAGTAGTATTATTTGTAGGTAGGCCTGCCCATGCTGCTAGATGTGTTACATCAAGGTGAGCTAGCGATGACTACATTAAAATCAACTGTATTCTTTACTTATCTGATATGTATTGATTGACAAATGTGTTCCGTTGAGAGCAAGTATTGCATACGTTTATTCCTACCGTAGCATGTATTTTCAATTCCAAAGCGGAATTCGGAATTAAATCTCATCAATGGGTCATCGAAGTCTAAGAGTTCGGACTGAACAGACCATCCTTCAAATTCACACACGATCCTAAGTTCTTCCAGTCCACCACACACTCGGAAGCACCAGACTTGAGGGTTTCTCCTAATAGAGCTCATCAGTAGTACATATCCACCGTCCCGTCCGGGATTTGAACTCCGGACCCTTTGCACGGAAGGTGTGTGTGAGTGCGTGTTACCACTGCGCTAACCATCTCATACCAGGGCTGAGAAGGATTGCTAATTCATGTTTGTTTCGGTGTTCTCTTCAGCTAAAATCGGTCAGTTAATTCTGCTACGAAGGGCGACAAGGGAAGCCTCCCCCTTTCAGATTAAATACGCTAATGCTGTGTGTGTCCAGGGTGTCTATAAATTCTGCGCAAACTGGATCAAGTAGGAGGGTTATGAGATCCATTTCATGGAGATCACATTGTTTATAGTTTACTATATCTAACATTCAAAACTTTGTTTTTTGTGGTATACCTGACAGCGAGGTGCAAAAAAACAGTCCCCGTTTGACTGGATCACACAGACACAACAACAACAACAACAGCAACCGCAATGAGGGTCACACGTGTATTCCAAATTTTCCGGGTGTACGTACTAAACACATTTCATGTCACATCTATCTGTCTATCTGAGCACCCATGTCTATCGCCGGAAAGAAATAAAACGTTTATTAAGGGCCAAAAATACCACGATCGATTAAAGAGATGATAAATATGTACCAATCGGTTTGATTTGAACATTCGTGACCTCAGTAGAAATGCGCATACCAATAACTCATACACCAGTTGTTCTCTAATAGCGACTCGCTCAAAGTGACAATTTGGTAAAACCGATGTGAGACCTGTAAGAGACAACTGTAATCGATTGCCTAACACACTATGAACCTTCATTAATTTAGTAAGAGAAATGCACTTTCTCGGAGAAGCATTTTTTTCATACAAACCTCACTCAGGCAGAATTGCATCAGGTTCCACGTGGTCATGTTTCACTGAGCGATAGTGATTGAGACGGTCGTCTGGACAGGAATAAAGCAGTGTAGATCATTCATGTTCACATTGATTTGCAGCTCGTTTGGTCGAATACAACTGTATGGGTTAGCCTTCCTGTCTGTTCTTATCTAATATCTCTCGTAGCAGAATCCTCGTCGGTTAAAATCAGTTGTGTAGTATGCGGTTCATTGAAACTAATTTTAAAGGCAACGAGGAAAGATTGCATGTGAATGACATCAATCACTTCTATGCCACACTGATCGAACTGTATTCTACCTGGATTGGTTCAAGACCAGACTCCCGTCAAATCAACTCTCATGCAGTGTCATTTTATGACAGTTGAGGTATTAAAAATCGGTTGCCCGCCCCCAGCGGCAAAGGTCTCACAACAAAGACCACATCACTGTTGTTCTATCACAGATCTATCACAGAATCGTAGGCATGTATGACGAACTACTGAAAAAAATGAGTTCAATCTAATGATCGAGGTTAACCTATCGCGTGACCCCACTAGCCGCAATCGTACATTCCATCCTTGCGTGTTTATCCTCATTCCCACAAGTTATTTCAACACGTAACCAATTNCCAATTGCAGAGAATCGGCAAGTGTGCCACAACATATGAACAAAATGAAATCGGAAGTATGTATTCATTGGTTGTGTGGGCATGTTACTTCCTGGTTGCCCTGACCGAAGAAGAGGGACAACCTCCTGGGTCCCCACCCGAAGCCTTTGTCTAGAAAGCCAGACACGCAAGACAACAGAAAGGAGCTCAGAGTCAGCAGTCCATTGGGGGCCGGTGTCCAGTTCATCGGATCATACGCCCTGACACTCAGTTGATAATTGGCTTTATGTCGCTCTAGCGTCATGGTAAATCCAGAGCTCTGACTGACTGTTTTTGAACGCACAAGGTTTAACGGAATCGTGATCGCTTCGACTGTGAACAGCAAGTGATGCATGACCTACTTCGATCTCACCCCGGTGATCGAGTAGATGGGCCTGATCGATTCACTCATTCCGACACGGTGTTCCGATTCGATCAAATGAGCCGTGATTGCCGTATCTCCGGTTCTCGTCAATCCGGGACTAAGCCAGCTAGGGTGGTGTTCTCGAATGCGTTCGGACAAGCGGCGGGTGGATTGACTAGTGCTAGTGATTCCACAGGAACACACAAATTGGTAAATGAAGTGGCCTCCAAGATCACCTGACTTGTTTCCCTTGGATTCTTTCTGTTGGGATATTTAAAGCAAACCGTTTATTCCGAAAATCCGAGATCGATCGAGCACCTTGAACAGAGTATTGTGGCGCAGTGCGAAAGTATTTCAACTGCTATCATTCTGAAGGTGGAAGAAAACTATTTTCACCTGATTTTGCTATGCAAGCAGCAGAATGGAAAACAAAGCGAACAAATTTATAAAATAAATATATATATATATCCACAATATTTACTCCTTCTTTCTTTCGGAATTCTATCTCCGATGTATTTAGCATAATCGTTCAACGCGAAAACAACCAGTTGGGAAAAAAAACAAGAAGAGTTTTGCGGGGGCCTACATTAGGGGATATTGTTGTCCGTTATTAAGACCAGTTCAAAGTTTTATTATGATTATCTGTTTACCGAACCCGCTTCGAAAAATAGTGCATGTATCTTGGGCGAGTCAAGCGTTGGTTCAGTGTTATCATCGCTTGGGCATTTTCCATTCGGAATTTCCCACATGGTGCAACGCTCCACAACTGATTCTCTTGTAGTGATTTTCTACCAACACTTAGGCAGCATCGGATTCGGAACCTATCCTCCTCCTGTGCCGGCCTGGAAATCACAACCGATCGGGTCCATTGATTGATCGGTCGAATGGTTCAGCCGCTACAAGGGACCTGATCCTTGCCCAGCTAACTCGAGCGAGAAACCACACCTTGGTTGTAGCCGTGAGTCTTAGGCAGGCCCAGTGAACTTCGACTGTGCAACACACGGATGGACTGGACGTGACAACAAGAGCATTACAAAACCTACAACCCGGTAATCAGACATTCTCGTGTTGGGGTGAGGGATTTTAAGCATTGTAGATCGCAGAATATGATCCAATCAGATCACAGAAAGGGTTAGAGGGAATTTACTTGTTAAAGGTCACAGGTGAGAGGGACGAGACGATGATAAACGATGGAACAATCGCACTGTAGTCGTTTCATTGTTGTCAAATCAGAGGTGTTATGATTTTACTCTATTGCATTTCCAACAGCCCAACCATTCATTTAGTTCTCTTTTGGTTCTATCAGCCAATGTTCATCTCAGAGGGCCTCCAATGAGGTTGGCACTCTAAAAGAGCTGTCTCAACTGTAGATTCCATTCGTTTGCAATTAGTGTACAACACTGTCTACCACCTCAAGTGGTCTGTGCGCCAACATTAGTATCTGTCAAACGTCAGCTTGATAATTCTCTGGCAAACATTTTGTATCAACACCCAACTACATAGTATATTTTACTGTGGTCATCTGGAACATTACATTAATCTTTTACGTGCATGGACTAACTGTGATATTGTGAGTCGTGTTCCAAACCCAAAGTGTAAACACCCTATAGGACTTGATAAGCGAAGACTTTGTAAGTTCTTTCCAATAATGAAATATTGCATTTGAATCTGAGAATTTCAGTTAGAATTTGGATTTGATATAAGTCAGATAAGGTTGGTGGTGATGTTCTGTTAGTAATAACATTACAATAATTCCATCAATTAATTTTAAAGCGCTTGTGTAGGCTAGAAGGCCATCATGGGCATTCTTCATCAATGTAAGACAACGACGTGAGTAACGCAATGATCATAATGATCCTAATCTTCATCATCATCATACCAAACATCAACATCCTCATCGTCATCATCATCATCATCATCCGAATCATCTACATCATATTCATCATCATCATCCGAATGTTCACCATCATCATCGTGATCTTCCGAATCATCATCATGATCATCACAATAATCATCCGAGTCATCATCATCGGCATCATCCGAATCAATATCATCATCAACATCCGAATCATCATCATCAATCATCATAATTATCATCATCATCCAAATGATCACCATCATCATTATCCCAATCACCATCATCTTCATTATCATCATCATCATCATCATCATTATCATCATCTTCATGATCATCATCCTCACAATAAGAATCATCATCAACATCATCGTCATCATCAAAATCATCATCCGAATCATCTTGATCATCATCATCATCATCATCCGAAACATGATCATCCGAATCATCATCATCATCAACATCATTCGAATCATCATCCTCGTCATCGTCATCCGAATCATCATCCAAATGATCATCCGAATCATCAACATCGTCATCATTATCTTCATCATCGACATCATCATCATCATCATCATCATCATCATCATCATCATGATCATCGGAATCATCGTCGTCCGAATCATCATCATCATCCTCATCATCATCAACCTCCGAATCACCATCATCATCATCATCATCGAGATCGTCATGATCATCATCATCCGAATCATTTACATCATCATCATCATCAACATAATCCGAATCATCAGGGTCATCCAAATCATCACCATCAAAATCATCCGGATCCTGAACATCATCATAATCATCATCATCAAATCATCATCATTATCAGAATCATCATCGACCGAATCATCATCATCATTATCATTATCATCATCATCATCACCATTATAATCATCGTCATCATCATGATCATCATCATCATCCGAATCAACATCATCGCCATTATCATCATCATCATCATCGTCATCCGAGTCATCATCATCATCATCATCATCATCATCGTCATGATCATCATCCGAATCATCATGATCATCGTCATCATCCGAATCATCATCATCATCATCATCATCATCAACCGGATCATCATCATCATCATCATCGTCAACATCATCATCATCATCATCATCATCATTTTCGTCACCATTATCATCATCAGAATCCTCATACTCATCATGCGAAACATCATTCAAACCTTCCGAATCATCATCATTTTCATCATCTCAATCAACATCCTCATCATCATGATCATGCTCATCGTCATGATCATCATCATCACCATCCGAATCGTCTTCCGAATCATCATCAACATCACCATCATCATCATCATCATCATCATCTTCATCATTATCATCATCATCATCATCTTAATCATCATCATCATCATCTTCATCATCCTCATCATACGAATCATCATCATGATCATCCGAATCATCCTTATCATCATCATTGGAAACATCATCA